TACCACCAGTATCTTCAGCCGCTACTACCTTCAGCACTAGCAATGGTTTCAACGGAACAGGGCCAGGCTTCAATAACTTTCCTACTCAAAACAATGGCGCTGCAACGAGTCCCCTCAGCGATTTAGATGAATTTGACGTGATTACTAACAGGGGAAAACTCGGAGCGAGTCCGCAGACGGTGAACAACGGTACTTCAATTATATAAAATTTTTCTGTAAAATACAGCATTAATGTGTGCTGAAATTATGTAATAAAGGTATATGATTTTAAAATAGGTGGTACATCATCAGGAGGAGATCCTTTCGACCTGGGTGGCATGGCTGAAACTCTTCCTGCCAGCACCGGTGCTGTGAAAAAGACACCACAATCCTTTTTAGGAGAAAACTCTGCGCTTGTTAATTTAGATAATCTTGTCAGCGCTACGGCGATTAAGCCATCAGCTCCTGCGCCAGCCGGTAAGTTTTCATTTGTAGCTAGATGATATAAATATCGAGAAAGAAAAGTCCAGTATTCAAAATATCTTTTGTTGACATATATTACTTGAATATATTTCCTATTATATGATAATCCATAAAGACCAAGTATAATGAATGTAATATTCAACGGAAAATTATTCAAATATCATGAAAAAAGATACATTTTACGCTATAACATTCTATGTCTACAAAATAGCGTTTCATTGGAAATAAGTTCGTGAGTATCAATAATATGATTAAAAATATGGCATGAATGCATGGTAACTATTATGTGCAGTGTAATGCTTATTACAACGATATCTTTCATATGTTATGTCAAGAATATATAATTTTTTTTATTTAAGAGTACTGTGATTTAAATCTTTCTTCGAATATATATCTTACGATATTCTAACAGAATACGTAGATTTTCTTTTTTTTTCTGAATAGGTCATTCTTTTTAAATATTCTTAATTTTATCTCTTTTCTCTCTCTTGTAATATGCATTTGTTTATGTGGAATGAATTAACAATTGTCAAATTATGTATCGGACAATTAAAGAACTGAAAGTCCAAATCAATGTCTTGAAAGAACAACCAATCTTATCAAATAAAAGTAAAAAATAAGAAATTTATATCATATATACAGGGTGTCTCACAATTTTTGGCAAAGCGCTTTTGTGTAGATAGAGTGAATTAAACTGAGTCGAAAAGTCCTCTACCATTTTGCAATTTTCGAAATGGTTAACAAGATATTAATTTATGAAAATAGCCAAATCGCCCAGCCTACCGCCAAATGTAAGCGAACGACGAGATAAGACCGCCTAGTAAGGTGTGCATTTGCCGTCGCTATATAAGGCACATTAATGCCAATGTCGCTTGTAAACAACGTGTCTAACGACGAAGAATGCACATCTCTCTAGGCGGTTTTATTTCGCCGCGTATATGATGGAATTAATAAGATGATCACTCCCGTGGATGCACAGTAGGAGAGTGAATTTAGGTAACATTTCATTAGCTGTTCCAGTATAACCAGCGCTATTATACATAGGAAAGGGCATATTGGGGCACATTGATTTGTTATTTCCAGTATTGCTACCATCATTATACCCAATTCACCTTAACAATTCCACCATGGCCGTGCACTTGCATTTGGCAGTAGGCCGGGCGAATTTGGCTATTTTCATAAATTAATATCGTTAATCATTGTCCTGGATAACATTTGTCAAGATCAAGGCCATTGGTGATTGTACCTCTTATTTTCATTTTTACGTAAAAATGAATTTTTAGTGCAATATGTATACATACAAGGTGTTCCGCAATTTTTAACAAAGCGCTCTTGTGTAGACAGAGCGGACTAAACTGAGTCGAAAAGTCCTCTACCATTTTGCAATTTTCGCAATGGTTAACGAGATTAATTTATAAAAATAGCTAAATTCGTGTATATGTATATATATATATATATATGTATATATAAAATTTTCCCTTTCTATTTCCAAATCATAAAGTAACATCTTTTTTAGGTTTTTAAGATATTGATTTATGTTGGACATCGTATATTCAAAATCGTTTAAATGATTGAGCTATCTTCGTGAGCAACAAGAGTTATTTCATACTAACGAACGAACGATTTTACAGCAACCATTTCATATTCAGCAAACCCATTTGCAACTGTGACGCCACCACCCCGTCCTACAATCAATCAGATTCGACAGGATCCATGGACAGCGAATACAACTACGGCTAATCCGTTCCTCTCGTAGCCTGATCGATCAATCGAAAACTTTGTAATTACTGCGTCCCTCGAAACGTGATCCGCAGTTCTACATGTACTATTACGGTATAGATTTCGGTTAACGATAAAAAGAGATATGATTTTACTTATAGCAATTATGGGCAGGGACAGATGTGAATAAGACCAATAAGAAGGCGGAGAAAACATCCCCATCAATGAAATTTTATTAATAGTTTAAAACGTTACTTTTCGACAAACTATATTCCAGCGCACCTATGCTCATTGTAAAAGTCTCTTTTGCTTTTTTTTCTTTTAAATTTCCCTTTGCATGTATTACTTGCTTCTTAAACTTTATTGTGGAATAATCACCTAAATAATTAATTAGTAGAAGCGTGGCATATTTGTAATTAAGTGATGGTTGGATGGTTAAAAGGTACAACATAACAATACAAATCATGTTTTAACTTTGAACGCTTAAGTAATCCCAAGGTACGACTAGATTTTATATACACTTCTTTCTCTATATGATCTATTTTCTATGTATAAATCAATTCAGGGAAAGATTGCTCAGCAATATCGCTTCATTGCTGGGGAAAAATGTAAAGTTACTGCTGGGAAAGAATGTAAAGCTGATAATTTAAGATCAGTTTATGCGTTTTTGTATACACGCGTTTTCTATAGTAAAAAAAGGGAAAAATGAGATCGTGAGACTGTAATCATGATTTGCAAAAGCATTATAAGATCTGTTTTTTATAACTGAACTAGTGTACATTTTTGGAACTTAAAATGAAATAGGTATATGTTTGATATTTGGCTAAAGTGAGAAAAAAGTTCTAGTGCAGGAATGAAAAACAGACCCATTATAACGAACAGAGTTCCGTTCACCGTTATACGCTTAAGATGTGTCGATTATGGTCTGTAAAAAAATTCGATGTTGTGGCTTGCTTTCTAATACAGAATCCGTAATACGGGCAGCTACTGTGTTGCAAAATGTACACGAATTTCTTATATAGCTATATAGCCAGTCATTCACGAATGACGTACTGCGACCTATGGCACACCAAGGCACTTCTAAATGAAAATGCAACTGTGAAAGTAGCATCCACTAAACAATACGAACATTAAGAAAATAATCCGTATTGTTTTTGCTATCCGGATTTTTGGTTTTAATTGACTATGTGCATGTTCATGCAGATTTGGTATAGCTGAAGAATCAAACTCAAGAGCGATAAGAATTGTCTCTATCGCATTCGAAAATCATCGATATTTAAATCGAAATAACAGCGTTATTTCTAATACACTTTCAATTTAACATTTACGTCGACGTCCAAAGTTATGTAAGAGCTCGATCGCTCGTAGGATAAATTTATAACAAGTCTACAAGAGAAGTTCTGCCTACCCATGTTTTTTAAATTCGCATGACAAAAACATGAATCAAGATTTTTTAACATATAAGACAAATACAGGCGTATCTTTTTATTTATAAGAAATGTACATATATTAAAGCACACTGTTCCCCCATTTGTCAAGCGTTTACAGTGTATACAAAAAATTTTTAGTAAACATTTGAAAATTGTTGTACTCGTCAATCTCGTATTATTGATAAAAAAATTTGCTGAGTTATTTTTTTACTCTTTTGTTAAATTTGCTATACATATATTCTTGTCTATATCATTCATACCGCTCTGATATTACATATTGATATTATTTATTTCACAATAATGTCCGTTTATAAATAATGTTGCTATAGATTTTAAGAAGTTTTTTTTACATTGAAATCTTGTACAATGTCAGCCTTTTTTTTCTTTAAAATAACGACGCATTTTTACAGTTTTATACAAAAAGATCTTTATCAATATACAACATTGACAAGGGGGAACTACATTTGCTTGTCTCTCATTCAAGTAAATCAGAAATTGCACGATTCAAGCTGCTCTAAGTAAACGCCAAGTAATTCCAATGTATTATTTATCGTTGAATCTATAATTTCTGTTGGCTTTATATGCAATTTTAATATACTTGCTTATATGAGTGAAATTGTATATTTAATATGTATTTATCCAGATGTTCGCCAGGACATGAAGTTAAAATGTATGATACGTATAATAACGTGTAGAGATTTAATTATATAATCATTGTCTGATTTGAAAATATAAACGATTCTACTAGCCATTGTGCCTGTTGAATATAGGATGATGTACCACACCATCCTGTATACTCTGGTTTCGTTTATGTAGATCTGCATCTTTTTTACCTATTTTATTTAAGATTTAAGTAATTAATGTATAAATCATGATGTATACACAGCTTCATCCCTGTGCGAACAGTGGAATTTTTTGTTTAGCTTTTAGAGCTCATGTAATTGCAGGAAAAAGAATTTAAAGAACATTTATATAAATAAATATTATATATTTTAGTATATTTTAATGATATACTTATTAATATAATTACATAAATAAATATAACAATTTTTAAGTTTCTCAAATTAAATATTTAAAATTCCTTTGATACTTTTCTCCAGAAGATTTGTATATACGGATTTGATTACACTAATTAGAATACATTTAATTAAATTGTTTTATAAAAAAAAAAGACAGAAAGAACATTGCAATATTTTTATTAATACTTTAATAAAAAAGATTTTTTTACACAAATATTTCTATTAAAATATTACAAAACAGATTTTAATGACAATCAGTTTATCAAAATATTAAAAAAATATACATATATATATATAAACAAAAAATTTATATATACATTCATAAAAATGCACGGAATAATTTTTTCTTCACTTTTTCTGCAGACGTCCTTATTTTATTAACTTAATAGTCTTTAGATAAAAATGATATACATATAAACTTTTTGAGATCTTGTTTTAATCTAAAGAGATGCTTCAGTCGAAGAGTTTATCGTAACTGGTGGAAGAAAGTATGAACGGATCTGACTATGTAGCTGTGCTATTTCAGAATCTTCTCTTTCTAAAGCCCGAATGAGCTGTGCAAATTGTACAGTACCTGCTTTGTGTATACATGATTAATTTTTTAACTCTATTTTTATCAGATTTACTTTTATTGTACTCTTAATCTACGCACCTTCTCTTCCTTCTGGAAATCCATAATTTTTTATGACATCCATTTGAATTTGTGTTACTAGTGGGAAAACGAATTGCATCATTTTCAACATCTCATTGCCAGAACTTTCCTTTGCTTCTGCAAGCTTTTGCAAGTTTTCAGGTGTATTTAGTGCTGTCAGAACATCGGTTAATATAGCTGAAAGAAAAAAATATTTATTCATATATTTTATTGTATATTTACAATTATACAATTATATTTTACATAATCATGTTAATATATATACAATATATATTTATTTATTTATTTATATTTAAGTTATCGACAAACTCGTATAATGAACACGTTGAATTGTAATAATATACAACTTCTTATAAAAAAATTATCTTTTAGATTTCTAATTACTTACCTTTTGCAGTTTCCAGTGTAAAACCAGGAACGCTTGCCATAATTAATGTATCGGAATATAATTGAAAGTCGTTTTTTCTCGGCAACGTTATCACTACAGTTGAATCGCTAATTACGTATAGTAAACTGAGATATTGCAGATCACTTTGACATAATATTTGTTGTAGTTAAATCGATAAATATTTATATGTAACAATTTTTCATATATAATCCAGCAGCAAGAACAAATGTTCTTTTTTCAGATTATTATATGTAATTTGACGAGATTTCATTCACTAACAGCAAATAATTGTTTCTTTCACAATACTATCGATAAAACTGCAGTACTTCAATTTATTTACATTTATTTGTAAATGACAGCCATCCGCATATCACTTTGACATTTTCGAGAGCGTCAGATGGCAATAAAGGTCACTAGATCTAAAGTACCGCAAACTCATGGTGGAAATATATATATTTCCACCATGCCGCAAACTCGCATTCATTTTGACGCAAAACGCGGCCATTTCGAATTTATGCATTTGTATATACGTACTTTATTTAGGAAAATGAAGCCATCAAGTACGTAAATCAATGTTTTTTAATTGTAATTAGTTTATCTATGAACAAAAGAATATGTACGAATGCTTAATTTATGTGTTCTTTAGTTTAATACGGGTTTATTTGTTGTAGAAGTTTAGTGCATGAAAGTGCACGAAGAAACATGTAAGTACAGTTTAAAAGGTGAACCATCCAATCACCATGCTTGGAATCGTGTACTGTGTGCACTTCGACTATATTGACGCAACATATGAGTTTGTCACATACTCCAATATGCTCCAACATGCTTCTACCATAGCTCCTACTCACTCTATCAAACGCGTTGGAATGAGTAATGCCTAATTCACACTGGACGCAGCTAGAGTCCTAGATATCAGAGAAGCGCAACCGGTGTTCCGCATTCTGATTCGCTGTTACAGTCACGTGGCTTGGCAGCCATTTATAATACTAGTGACATACTTCTATTTCATTTTATCCTACAATTCTATCTCACATTATCTTACACGTTCTATCCTAGGCAAATGAAAGTTTTATGTTACCATTTTTTATGCGTAAGTTTAAACATTTTAATTGCATATAATGATATATATGTGCTTTGGCACATAAGATTATTGTTTAATCTTTTAAAATATTATTTACATAGGCTGCTTTCCTTTTAGGAGACACAAATCGACACAGTATAACACTCAAACACAGTTTGTCACACATACTCTGACTCTCCTCTCGAGCAGAGGCGAAGTGTGTCGAGTTTGATAAAAAATTGTAAATGGAAAAAATTAAAATATTTAATAAGTTTCCTACTTCTTTCCACTTCAGCAAGAATATCTTCCATTTGAACTGAGACTGGACTGCAACTTTTGCTGATTCCATTTATTTCTCCATCAATATTACATATGTTTTTGTAATTATAACTCTCTTTACTGTTGCTGCAGAATTGTTCTTGAACAGTATCCATGCTGACTAAATTGTGAACTTGTTCGTTAACAGTAGATGCTTCACAATTATCATTTTTTTCAATGTTTCTTGGATGTGAGAACATAATACTGCAATCGTACCTGCAATTATGCAATACCTTATCTTCAAACATTTTTGTTTTAATTTATAAACAAGCAATCACAAACGACTTTAAAATTATTTTATTTCAAACATTTGGAATACTCCATAGATTAAACCATATGAAATTCTTCTACGTATCATACAGAATTATTTATTTGAGTAATCTCTGATGAAAATTTTTCTCAGAATTTTTCACATAATTTTGCAGAAATTCTATATAATTTTTCAGAATTTCCATATAATTTTATAACTTTCTTACATTTTTCATACGAATTGGAACACTTCTCAGAAAATCTACATCTTATCTCAGAATTTTTCATATATATTACTTATGAGATATATAAGATTTCTAAGATATTTTGTATAATTTCTGATGAAATGTTATAAAATCTAAAACAAGAACATTTTTTTTTAATTATGAATGAGAAATTTCAGAATTCACTTGTATAAACAGTTCTGAGAGAAGATATAAACTTTCTGAATATTTCTGAAAAATGTTCTAATTCATACAAAAATTATGAGAAAAATTGTCGCTAGAGATGCAATAATATTTTTTTAATTTCAGGAATAATTTTATCGAGAATCTTTCGAAAAAACCTTTCGAGTAAAGTTTTACTCCGTTAATAGCAGTGCAAATTAAGAGGTTATGGTGATGACAGTTTAAAGGCAGTTTCTTGCATGTCGGCCATTTTTAATACTCTCGTTAGTAACTTTGCGATACTGACTTAAGCCGGTTACGCTTCTCTGATATCTAGGACTCTAGACGCAGCAAGCGTCAAGCAGCGGAGCAGCAACCAATCAATGAGGCGATATTTACAGTGGCGTAAACAATAGCTGCGTTCAGCAGACTCAACAGTTTTGCAACCGTTTTATGATTGTCTGCTGAGATAGGACCATTCTTCTAGATCTAAAAGTATGATCCAATCAGCTCGAAAGAAACTTCCAACAGTTGCAAAACGAACGTTCTGCTGAACGCAGCCAATATCGCCTTGCTGGTTGCTGCTCGCTGCTTGACGCTTGCTATGTTCAGTGTGAATTAGGCATAAGCATTGCCGCGTTTTGTGTGCAGGAGCCATAAGAACATATGCTGGATTTACACTGCATCCAATTTTCGTCGTACGATGCTCTGCATCCAATCAGAAAAGTAATAAACTCCCTGCTCTGCTGCTTGACGCTTGCTGCGTC